AGGGCCCCCAGGGCTCCCCTTCGCGCTTGCCCTCGCCCAGGCGCTGGGAGTCGGAGCTGAGGCTGTTCTCGGCCGAGAGCTGGTCGGTGCTCACGAAGCTGTGCCTGCAGGGGGACAGCTCTGAGACCCCGGGGCTGGCACAGCTCTTCTGCCCCTCCCTCACCCCGTGTCCCCCCTCCCGGGGCAGGGCAGGGTGCTTGGCCGATCTCTGCCCTCACTGTGAGCTTACCTTCTGTAGAGTTTGCTGTCCGAGCCGCTCTCGTTGCCATTGAGGGTTCCCAGGGAGGGCCACTGGTTGACCAGGGGTGTCACCATCTCCTTGGAGAGCTGGGCCAGCTGTGGGTTCTCGCAGGGGATCAGCCCCGTCCTGCAGCAAAGGCAGGGGCTCGGCACCTGGCACAGCCACCAGTGCTGGGCACCTGCCAGGTGACACGGCCCATGGCATGTGTGGGGCACTGGGGACACCCAGCCTGGCTCCCCCAGCCCCCCGAGCCCCCCGGGCAGTGGGTCCCCACTCACAGCTGCTCCTGCAGCTCCAGGATGACGCCCTCCAGCTCCCTCTTCTCCAGCTGGTTCTGCACCATCACCTCCTCCAGCCGGAGCTTCAGCCGCTTGTTCTCTGCCTCCAGGTCCTTCAGCTGCGACTCCCGCAGCCTCACCAGCTCCTCCAGGTACCCCTGTGGGAGGTCACCATCAGTGGTGCCCCGCTGCCACCACCCCCAGTGTCCCCAGGGCCATCCAGAGTGACAGAGAGCGGCTGGGTCACCAAAGAAGCAGGATGAAAGGCTGAGGGCACCACTGAGGCAGAGATGCTCCAGGCTGGAGCATCCTAGGGAAGCTGATACCCTGCTGGCCCCAGCCTGGTACCTTCTGGGCATAAACAATGCGGAATTTCTGCTCCATCTTGCGCCACTTGTTGTACCAGCTGTCCTCGTCGGTGACCAGGGGCAGGTAGGGGTGCTCAGGTGAGCTGTCCTCGCTCGTGCTGCTCTCCACACTGCCCCGCTCCTCCTCCTCGCTCAGGTAGTCATAGCTGGGGGGTGTGGGGGCTCAGCAGGGCTCTCAGGGGTTCAGGGAGCCCCAGCGTGGTGCTGGGGCAGAGACAGGGGGGTCCCCACCCCAGGAAGGGCAGCCCAGCTCCTACCTCTGCGTGAACTTCAGGTAGGGCGTGTAGTCGATGACCACGGGCGTTTTACCGTCCATCACCTCTCCCTTCAGGCAGAAGCTGAGCAGGGGCAGCAGGAGAAGGTCAGGGAACCCCGAGGCTGTCACTGAGGGGTCCCGCTGTGCCACCTGTCCCTACCTGAAGTCGATGGCGCTGAGCCCGATGAGCATCCCCGTGAGCACCGTGGACTCCTCCCGCAGCATGATGGCCCCGTCGTCGTAGAACCGCCTGTGGGGAGCACACGGCTGGCTGTGCCCCCCAAANCCCTTCCTGTGGGCTCACTGGGCTGGGGCTGGCCCCAAGGGACTGGTTTGGTGACAATAGGAACTGCTTGGGAGGCGGCTGTGGGGGCATGCAGTCACCCACAGAGCTGTCCTGCTGCCCAGCCCCGGGTGGTGGCGTGTCCCCTGTGGTTGCTCAGTGTGTCCCATTGTGTGTTTCAGTGTTGGCAGCGCAGTCAGTGCCCTGGGGCGCTCAGCCGGCCACATGTGAGTACGCCGGGGGCTCCTGCTGCCAGTGGCTTTGCTTTCCCAAGCCTTCATCCTGGTTTGCTTCTCCACTGGTGGTGGCTTGGGCTCCTCTGGCTGTGGGGACATCCCTGCACTGTGGGGGCTGACACTGTCCCCAGCCCAGGCTGCCCTGCAGCCCTGCTTTGGGACTGGCTGTGCCACATCTATGGGGATCTGTTGTGCAGCTGGCCTGGCTGTGTGTGGTCTTGTCACTCTGTCCTGCTGCCACATCAAAGTCCCCTTGGATTTTTCCTAACTGATGCCCCTTGTGCCTGGCTTGGGAGCACAGTGGCGGGGCCAATGCTGATGTCCCCCCTGTGCCAAGGCAGCAGAGCCAAGACCAAGTGAGGCATAAACCCTCTCCCAGTGCTGGCAGTGGGTCCTGCTGTGTGCCCACCCCTGCCATGGAGCTGGGTGTCCCCATCCCTGGCTCTGGCCATGATCAGACCCTTGTGCAGGGTTGTTCCTCTCCTGGCCTCGGGCTGGTCCACACTGGGCTCAGGCACTGAGGGTTTGGCTCCTTCCTGGAAGACGTGGCAGCTTTGGGACCCGATGTGCAGGGCATGGGGCGGAGGGGAAGGCTCTCCTGTGTGATGGCAGTGCTGTTGTTTCCTCCTCAGGGAAGTGTTTCCTCTACTGCAACGGGCTCATGGACCACCTGTACGTGTGCCAGAACGGCAACAGCTGCACCGCCTGGTACAAGGCCCCCGGGCACTTCACTGGCACGCTGGTAGGAGCTCCAGGCATGGCCGGGGCCTCCCCACCCCAGAGGGCTGTCAGGGTGTTTTCTGGGGGTGGTTTGTCCTTCTCCCACCTGTAACTGCTGTCCCTGGTGCTCCTCTCTCTCCCCAGGATGCTTTTGTGAAGATCACGCGCAATGAGGGCATCAGATCTCTGTGGAGCGGCCTGCCCCCCACCCTGTGAGTTTGGGGATTCTGGCTGCTACCACCTGCCCAGGAATACAGGTCCCAAGCTCCCTGCCAGCCCCCAGGAAGGCCATGTGCCCCTCACTGCCCTTCTCCTCCTCGCAGGGTCATGGCCGTGCCAGCCACCGTTATTTACTTCACCACCTACGACCAGCTCCGGGACTACCTGCGCACCCGGGTGGGGAGCTGGAACCACTACATCCCCCTGCTGGCTGGGGCCCTGGCCAGGCGTGAGTGCCCCTCCTCTCTGGGGTCCCCGATGCCCACTCAGTGCCCACATTCAGTGCTGGCTCTCCTGGCACGGTGCTGGTGGCTCTGGGACGGCCACTGGAGCGGACAGAGCTCACTCCCCGTGTCCCTTGTGTTGCAGTGGGTGCTGTGACTGTCATCAGCCCCCTGGAGCTGATCCGCACCAAGATGCAGTCCCGGCAGCTCAGCTACCGCGAGCTGCGTGTGTGCATCCAGTCTGCAGTGGCCCAGGACGGCTGGCTGTCCCTCTGGAGGGGCTGGGGACCCACCGTGCTGCGGGACGTCCCCTTCTCGGGTATGCCTGGGGGGCACTGGGGC